TTTAACCACGTCAGGAGAAGACGAAAGAAGTGCATTTTTAAACACATTTCTAGGCATTTTTTGGTGAACACCTGTTCGGGACAAAAAGGATAGCGGTACGAATGGCGCGAGCATTTAAAAGAAAAGAAAAAACAACAACAAAAACAAAAACATGACGGCGAGACTTTTATCGCGAGTCGCGTTCCACTTACTGCTATCCTTTTTGTCCCGAACAAGCGTTCATCAAAAAACGCCAAGAAATGTGTTTAAACATACAAATCTTTCGTCTTCTCCTGACGTGGTTAAACTGAGGAGCCAATTCGCAGTGGTTTTCTCAAAAACTAAGACCTAAGATCTAAGACCTAAAACCCCCTCTGAATCTCAAAAATTAAGACCTAAGACCCCCTCTGAATCTCAAAAACTAAGACCTAAGACCCGCTCTGAATCTCAAAAACTTAGACCAAAGACCCCCTCTGAGTATTATTTTGTGGCTGATTGTACAAAGCAATTTGGCCTCTTTTGCAAAACGTGCCACATTTTCTGAAGATTCGCTCGACATCTGTTTCACTACTACCTCGACATTTTGATTGCCAGTTATATGGTTGGCTTTATACACTAACCCATAGCTTCCTTTTCCTTTCCTTTTCAGATGGGGTCTTAGATCTTAGTTTTTGAGATTCAGAGGGGATCTTAGGTCTTAAATCTTAGATCTTAGGTCTCAGGTCTTAGTTTGTTAGTCATCAAAAAGGTTCACATATCCAGACACACATCCAATTGAGCTAATACACACCCAGTGTGCAAAATTTGAACCAATTCACCACTAACAACATCAAAATTTCTAACAGGGGCAAGTGTCGGTCGCTGAAAACCTGCGATTGCCGGATTCTCAAGCTGAAATAAAACATGAGCTGTTGGATGACATTACAGTCTAGCCATTCAGTAGGATTAACAATTAAATCGAAATGGTGGTCTGTTAGATTTGCCAATGCACTGGTCTTATCAGTTTCACTCTTCATGCAGGG